CTTTTCTAGTTTTCTAAGACTAGTCAATAGGAAAGTCCTATGGCTAGACCTAGGCTACTAAAGAAGTTTTCTAGACCTCAACCAAAAGTGAGGTCAACAGAACTGATAACCATTTTTTTAATGTAATTTTGCCTGCCCTTTATTAAAGAGATGTATTTCTTATGAGAATTTTTATTGTTTAAGTGTAATATGTTACATATTCTCTCTCAAGTAGATTATTTATCTTATAATATTATTAAGAAATTTTACATGTTGGTTGTTCATGTTACAACTTACAACTTATTATATTGGGAAGAAGATGAACGAAATAATTCTTAAAAATTATTTTTCTTCTATAAATATTGTGTTTTAATATTCATGAAATCATTGAGTGGAAGATTAGAGATAGAAGTTTAAAGAAGATTTTCCTTTCTCTATTAAATATCTTTATTAATTGTGATTATTGTTATTTGATTATATTGATTTGGGTTTTTCTTTTGCTTAGATTGTTGTATTGCTCTCCTTTTTGGATTATTATCAAGTTCGAATATATATATATATATATATATATATATATATATATATATATATATTTCCATCTATGTTAATGCTTTGATAATTATATAAAACTTATGCTTAAATGGTATTCTTACTGATCAGAACATTTCTAGTCATGTTCTTTTCTTTTTTGTCGAGTTTGGGTTGAGCCTTGACAATTTCCGCCAATCTTTAAAAATTTAATTGTATGTTTGAATTTTAGATATTCATTATACTTATAAGGAATTTTAATGTTTCTCTTTCTCTTTGGTGTGGTCTTGCTGATCTTGAAGAGATTATTTTTGGTTTAGGTTGGATGTTTAATTATAGTTGCTTCCTATTATTTGATCTCCTTCTCATGTTTGATGTTGAACATCTTCTCTACTGTATGATCCATCTTTTGGGTTACTTTTGGTGACTATCTTGGTTAATCATCGAAAATGTTTTGATTTGTTACTTTTATTTGAGGATATGTTGATGCTTGATTTTGTTTTCATGGTTGATCTCCTTCTCTGTTTGGGGGCTTCAGCATCGATGGATCTTTTTAAGTATATTCGTGTTGTTTTTGTGTCTTTAGTTTATGTTATGGTTTTTGTTGGTTTGTTTAGTTTTATTTTCTAGTGTTGTAATGTGTGTGTTTGTATTATTATTGTGGCTTATGTTGAGCTTTTATGTTTCTAATTTGTATCTTTGTTTTTTTATTGTGTCTTTGAGTTGTAACTAAAATATATTAATGCTCAATCAAGTTGTAATATATTTAATATAATATTAAAAAAAATTGGAGAGCTGCATTTAATTTTGAATAACATATTATTAATCTTTTTAAATATTTCTTTCTATTATTTTTCTCATTTGATTTGAAATTATGGCATAAGTTTATCTAAAATATATAATAATATAATGCAACATGCGCGCGCGCGCACACACACACACACACACACACACACATATAT